AGTTAAATTCTAATTGTAACATTTTGGTGATAATATTGATGAAATTCTACCTCATTTATAAAAGATCTTATTGTAAATATATATCTGGATTTTCTTGATAAAAATAGGTTTATTCCTTTAATAACATTACATCATAAAGTATTTCTATCTAGAAAAAGTGTAAATCGTAATTTGTTTACATTGTCTACATTGAAGATGAAACTGATAAATATAAGCGGTAAACACAACCAGATTCATTGTTTTGATTTACAGAATTCCTATTTTTAAACATATTGCTTAATTGTTTTGATTATGTAATTAAATTATACATTTAGATGTTTTGATTTCCTAAAAACCAACTGCTGTCTGTTGGATTTTATTTGTTTAAAGGAAGATTGAATGTCTATCCAATGGGATTAGTTATGCAACAGTGTAGACTGGTAAAGAATGTTGACAGCCTAGAGTTTCCATTACTAACTTAGTGCTAAAATGTTTGGTGTGAGTCTGGAAGGTATTAAGCAACAACGAACTAGTCAACTGAGTTGACAAACATTGTACACTTCTAAAAAAAATATTTCGATGAGTAATTAAGCTCTAAAAAACTGTTCAATGTAGTCATCATCCTTTTCCCAGTTTACGATAACAGGTTTTTAATTTGATCGGTATTTAACCTTTTCTCGAAAAAATTGCCCCAAATTATAAGGCTTTAAACCATAACAGCAAAGAAAACAGAACTACAAATAAAGATGAAGAGAAAACTGAGGGGTTTAGATTAGGGTACGGAGAAAAGATTTTATACTGACATTAATTTTGACTTCACTTTCCTGATCTCTTTCTAGTTAACGACCATTAATACCTCATGAACTTAAGTAATAATTATACATTGACGTGCGCGTTGCTTACCAATAGTTGATGACAATAAGAAAGTTTGTAGTTTTGACTCGGAAGTTGTCAACATTCTACCCGCACGTCTATTAATTTGAGCGGTGACTTATTGTGGATTACTTCAATCCACTCCATTTGAAATATATGAGTGTTGTCTTCCTTCTTGTTTCAGATTCATTTCAATTAACCTTGTCAACAGTGATCTGGTTTTGGCGTTACCATGTAATTTTCCTTAAACATCCATACTTTGATTTTCATATAACAGAAAACAGTGATCTATAGATTCGTGTCATTAAAGTTTGGTACATAATCAAACATATTTCTGTCTTGAAATCATGAGTCAGTTGAAGCTAGACCACCATTGAAAACCTGGAAGCACTGGACGGCCGTTTCGTCCTAGTATGGGATTGACTCATGATTTCAATCTGTGAAATTTCTAAAATCTCCACAAAACCCATTCTGATAATATTTCTGTCTTGTTTGTTTATTTAAATTTCCGTATCCTCATAAATACGATTTGATGAATTTGTCCAACAGACAGGATATTTTTCTAAAACAGTCTGACCACTTTATCCATTGTAATCTGACAGGATGTTATTAAAAACCATTTTTGAAATGTACTTTCAGTTTTCGAAATATTTTCCTGAATATTGTAACTATTCATCGGAACATTTTGACGATTTTAAAACTTGTTAATTTCTCGTTTTAAAGCGAATTAATAACTTTTAAAACTGAAGAATCTAAAATTATAAAGACTAATAATCACCAATGAAAACTTAATGCCGAAGTCTCATATATGCTGCAGTTGATCGGAAATCCAAAGTTTAACAATATTATTATGCCACTCAGTGAATTGTCAGTCAACAAGAAAAGAAGACTATCCGTTGACCCAATTTTTAAATCACTACTATTTCAACTAAAGTAATTCTCGATCATTTTCAGGTAAACATTATTATTCTATCCTATTTGTATTAAAATAATTTAGTACAATAATAACTCGTTAGGTAAATATTGTATAATGACTGCTTTCTCTATTAGTTTCTTTCTATATTCATTTCAGACAAGTTGTTAACAGAAGAAAAGATTGGTTAGATTTGATTATTTTAACTTAGTTCAACAAAAAATCAGTTTTACTTTCATTCATTATTTATCCAAACCTTAATAGGCTGTCAACCTAAACTATTCCTGTTTAATAACTATCAGTATCATCACTAAATTCTTCATCAGTTGTTTTGATTTCTGTTAATTTAGTTCAAGTTAACTTGTACAGGAGTTACACTACACTGAATGTCCATAACTTACATTATCTTGTAATATAATTCCTCCTGTGACTTTTTATAGAACATTTCGTGAAATATCCGAATGAGTAACCGTGTCGCATAACTAACAGATGCTACACTATAGACTATCATCTGTCATTTAGTATTATCAAGCAGATATTTTTAGTAAAATATTAAATCAATGACGGGATGTATGCTTACTTATTTGAATATTTTCCTCACATAACATACTGCCAAGTTAATATAATAAACTTTTATTGAATATATTTTTAAGGTGTTACACATTAGATATAGATTGCTATTTTAGCCAAAAATGATTGAAGTGTATGATGCATATAAAATGACCTACATTTCTTCCAAAAAAAATATTGTAAATCTATTACTACATAAATAAATTTACTATTAAGGTCATTCAGGCTTCCTAACTGCAATTAAGTTAAACAATATTGAACTCAAAAATCAATTTGCCTTGTTGTGAAATCTACGTTAGATAACTAAACGAATATATTTAGTGACAGATTCTATGTCGTTTTGCTTTAGTAAATTAAAAACGAAAGTCAAAGTGACAAAGTAATGGGTCCGTTGACAACAATTAGATGTGAACTGATTTAGTAAAAGACAACTTGTTCATGTGATTGGAATAAAATTGTTTATAGAAAGATGACAATGCTTAACTAACTACAGTATGTTAGGATTCAAGATTGATGAACTCTATTTTTTCTCAAATGGTTGGTTTTAAAATGTCATAAAATAAAATCTCTTAGTAGGTTGGTCAGATCCTGAGAGGAATGTGTTAACTCATGCCAAATTAACAAACTGTGATGAAATTAACAAGATGAATGCTAAGGAGTCGAAATAGTAGTATTATCGGTGCTAGTAAGCAAAGCAAACTATTGGGAACATGGTTCGAGAGTTCTAAGCCATGAATCTTCCTTTTCTCTGAAATGCACAAATAGTATATTATCCTGTTAGCTAAAGCATGAGAATAATCTCATCTTATGCAGTTAACCTTAATTATGGTCCATTGTATCATTATTGAAGGCTATGAATTCCTATTTTGAAAATGGAACAATTAAGTTGCGTAAGTAGGTTTCCCTATTCTATTGTGACTCATCTTTACTATTCAGAGTCCGATTTTTAAACAAGAAGTAAGACACGGTTTGCACCAGACATATATTGATTACAATTCACCTTTCACGACTTGTTATTTTTCAACCATTAATAGTTGGTTAATCTATCCAGGTCTTATGGTTGTCTTACAATGAAAAGGTTTTTATGCAAGACTGTATCCTCGCAATCCAAATTAAGACTAACACATGCAATACTTCAGAATGTTCCACTCCGAGGTTACTACAACTAATAGCGTTTTTTGGGTTCTACTTATTAGTTTAACTAATGATAAATACTTGAAAGCATTTCCATAAAATCCCCGGTTAAACTACATCAGGTGGAGTTTTGTTCTCTGAGCTGGATGGTTTGGTCGTGGAGCTTTCTTCGTTCTTCTGAACGACATCATCAGCACAAACTTCAGATATTAACTTTCATTATGGTGATAATGGCTGAATTTTGAGAGAAGTGCAGATCGCCAATATGCTATGCATATTCGGATTACTGAGTAAAGGTTTATCGATGAATAAGTTGGGCCATAAGACCATTTGAATTTGACGAAAATCGATTTTCATTTGTTTCTCGAAATTCAAACCAGTGAAGTCACGGAAAAATCTTTCTTTCACTATGGTTTAACTACTAACGAGTAGGCAGACATGTATAAACGAAACTATATCTAGTAAATAGCAGAACCCAAAACTGCCTAAATTGACTACTTTTGTCAGGTGAAAGAGTAAATATATTGATGCATATTAAATGCGTAAATTATACAATCTTTTGAACGATCGTGCTGCTAACTTTATTGTTACGGTCACATACAGTTAACTATTGAGATGGCTCTATCATTCTAGTGAGTAGATACACTTTCCTATCATATTAAACTATATTATCTATCCTAAGCTTAGATATGGAGCTGGATTAATCATGAGACTGATAATCTTTAACACAAAAAATTTGTTACAACCTAATATTACTTAAATGTTGCAAGGAACAGCCTTAACACAGATTAAATTCTAATTACTCTAGGACGATATTTAAATCTACTGCTGTAATTGAATAAAATAAGAAGATCGACTGGTTGACAGACCAGACAAGAGGGGTGGCCTGCTTGAATATCTGGGCTACCTGTTCCTGCCATCTAGATATTTCAACAAGTTATCTGTCCCCTTGTTTGTTCTCGCAGATCATTATGTCAAATAATTGCATAACTTATTCAGGTGCGTTTGTGAAAAATTTACGACCTTTCGCTGCACAAGTTACAAAAATGCTCAATCGGAGACATCATGATGCCTGGCAATATGCATGGAAAAAGGATGAATATTACTCAGATGTGGACTTTTACAATGCTAATATTTGACTGGCGATCACTCAATACTTATCGTCAATATCTATCAAAGTATAAGAAACGGAAACTCGCTGAAATACTTTGTGTTGAGAATTCTATTTTGTACCAAAAACATAATATTGAATAAACCTCATAATAAATAAAATAAGTAAATATACTCCACCATGTTTCAACCTTCCCCATTAGTAAAATAACCAAAACCACTGAATCTTCAGCTGTAATTTTAGTACGGTTTTACATGTAAGCGACCCAAAGCCCTTAAAAGTTCCACCATTAATAACTTCTTACACACATATACTTTTCGTTTGTATTTAGTCTGAGAACTTAGAAAAATATGTTGAGAAACAACAAATGGACATAACGATCCATAGTTGAGACAAGCAGAAACTAAAAAAGAATATTTAGTAGCTTTCGTATTTTTTCTTCCACTGTCAAATATTCCTAGGTATGTACACAGGTTCTGGAATACGTGTTTTCTACACATGAAAGTCAATAATTTACAAATAAAAGTAAACCTTCTCAAATTCAAACCAACGAAAATAATTTTCACAAAGAAGTGGAATATGTACAACACAGAATGTTAGAAATGAAGTAAGGAGTAAATAGAAGACATTGGTTCCACATAATCTCTCCAAATAATGTCCCCAAATACAGGTATTAACAACTGGAAAAATTTCAAAAGCGGTGGTCAATAATTAAGAGTCAAATAAAATATAAAAACTCCATGAATATGGTTATCAAAAACCCTGATCCTTTTTCTGTTCTCCTCTTCATTTTAAACCACGTTGTACAAATGCAGGGTCGCACGGTTCATCAGTCGTGCAAGTAGCAGGTTTTGGTGTTTGAAGGCGTCCAAAATAACTTAACGGCCATACACGGAGAAATACTTTGTACTCTAAGTGAGAAATGGGGACGGGGCCATAAGACCTTGAGTCTAATGACTGTAATGTATTGTCACCTTCTAACCAAACATGACCTCGAGGTACCTGAGAGGATAGAGGAGAGTCAATACATTAATAATTCTTTCACATTGCTACCATTCTATACGTTACTTCAAACTAAGGCAAATTACTAAGGGCGAAAAAGCATAGTCATGAATGAGGAGAGGTTCGAATGCCATATTGACTTAAACTGTCACGTTAAAAGGGTGTTTTTAAACTAGTAAAGTTCCTTAATTCCACTGGTAGTGACAAGAAAAAAAGAGATTAAAATCATCAGTCATAGTGTTAAAAATGAGAACTAAGATGAAAGTAACAACTCCGTTAGTACTTAAAATGAAACAGGGTAGATACCATAACCTTAACGATCAGTTTTATTCAGTCTTTCGTGGTTTACAGTTGCTGATCTTAATTATACTAGTTACTTGTGAAAATCTCCCCCGAATACTCTGGTACGGTTGACGGACAGGAAAGTCCTCCCTCCCGAAGTGCTCTCACAAGGCCACGCATGTTCAGCTACTTCCGGGGAGGTCCTACTTACTGCCATCTTGCAGTAGGGTCAGCGTTTGCGAAATTGCGAGGACAAAAAGTGAATATCTGACGTTTTAAGCGGGTCGATAGGTATGGAAGATCCATCTAAAAAGCTGGGAAACTCTGATTCTAAACCTATGGTGCACATGGGCTCGGGGATCCTGAGGTAACAGATAGCGTGTAAACCTACTGATTACCGTCTACCATGGACTGCATCTCATAACGTTGTTCCACTGCCTTGTGGCCCAGACCTTTAGGTCAAAGACCCGAGGAGTGGCCCCCTAGGAAAACCACCTGCTCCGGTTTAGGTGCACTGGTAGAATTTCGACCCTCACAAAAACCGAATGAAGAGTTATAGTGCGTATATATTTGGTGCCCTCTTGTACCAATGTTTATGTATATAAATAAAATAAACTCGTAAAAATCAGTTTTACAATGACTTCATTATTCAAATTAGTGACCCAGTTCGAATATCCGTAGAATTAATTTACCATGTACAAAATGACTGACTTAAAAATTTAACCAATAAGTCGAAATAAACTGGTTGAGGATGTACAATATACGTCTGTATCACATGTTGGTAGATGACTAATATAACCAAAGACTCATTTGTTTTTTATACAACAGCAAGAATCAGATTTTAACTGTGTTAACAGGCGGCTACATGAGGCAGAGATAACACTTTAAAAACATTAATAATTAACTACTCAAGTGTCTCCAACCATTATTAATCATATGAAACAGGAACTACTAACTCGGGGTACTGTTAATAGTGAAATGTTAAACTACGAAGAAGGAACAAGTGTTCAGCTCAATTACAAACTACATTATTGGAACTATGGTAAAAGATGAGAGGAATTTCTTAACTGAAAACTGTACACAAATTTATGTAGCTTAAGGTTATTAACCACAGATGTGGATAGTGATCTGGCTTTATTAGTTAGTTTGTGGGTAAACCAAAACTGACCACTAGAGACCTGTGATGATATAACTTAATTAAGGCAAATATTTGCAAGAATATTTGCTCAAAAACATTTTGTGCATCTTACGAGTCCTAATACCCCATTCTCCGTTCCTTTTGTTCCTCCCGATTCTTAATTCGTTCACTGGCGATAGCACCTCTCTTCTGATATTTATACTGCTATATTGCTCTAAAAAGTCAATGAAAATCTTGACGAATAAAACAAGACCTGCTTTCTTTTGCAAGTAACGACTTTATCGCCTGTATTTACCTGACGTGCACAAGTAAAGGCTGGAAGGGTGATTCTGAATGGAGAAATCTTATATAGTAAAGGCAGGGCTGTTTTAATCGATTTCCACGTTCGCCGAATTTTTGATGATCGATGAGACCACAATTTATGGACCTTTGAGCGACGCTGGACTGACCTTGATAGTGTCCACCTAATAAATGGGACCAAAAGGGGGTTATAAATCTCTGTGAGGACTATGAATTGTGATTTGCAATTGACGGTTAAGGTTAGGAATTATATTTACGGTCTTCATGGAAATCAGCTATAATGTCAAAACTCCATTTTGCCAAATTGGTGAGTGAAGTTCGCGCAAAGATCCGAGACCTGTTGTTTTATACCTGATTGGTTCGTCCATAAATTATAGTCTCGCCTTTTTTCATTATTGTATCTACGGTACGCTCTTAATATTACGACATAAGTCGTAGAAACCTGAACTCCGAATTTCGGGGAAGCCTCTATAGTGAACTTTGGGGAAATGGCACTAAAACCCCAAAATTTCCCCCAGACCTGGGGAAACTCCCCAATATTTCCCTTTAACCTTGGTGAAGGTCATTTAACCTTGGTAGTTTCCCCAAACTTGGGAGATTGGGAACAGACACGGAGGTTCGTGGCAATTTACCGAAACCACACATTACTGACGAATTCTAAGAATTGCTGTCTTTACCTGCTTAGCGATGATTTCCATATTACTCTTGTCCCAGAAAGTAACTCGGTCATCGCCAAGACCTTTGATACGCTTTAGAACATACGTAGTATCATACTTTCTGCGTTGACCAGCAATCACAACATCTCCTCTATAAATATAATGGTTTTTTGAGTGAATTATACCTTCTAATACGTCCCAAAATGATTGAGAGCCTTTCAACAACTAGATAGTCACCATCGTTAACAGTAGGTTGCATACTAACACCATCACACTAAAAATATAGGCAAGCATTTGTTCGGAACTTGCGTAAACTATTGTACCAACAAGTGAATGATATTTGTAAGTTATTATACCAGTGCTTAAGGCTATTATTCCCCGAAATACTCCGATCGGTAGCCTCTTCAGCATTGGCCTTGAGTGGTTAAATCTCGGCTTAAGTGCAAGGACACTTCGGGTGTAGAAAAAACATGCAGTGTCATCTAAAGCAATGGATACGGCGTATTCAGCTTCCTTACAATAAAACGTGAAGTCACGATTACTTTTTGACCTTTGTAAAGAATTATTTACATTCAAGCCCCAATATTGTAAAATTGAGCATTAACATTACCTGCCATTGGTACAGTCTTCAGTTCTAATTGGAAAAGGATAGATGTCTGAGCGGCTTATGTCATTCCCGGCAGTGGCTTTCCTTGCGTTTTATTGGACGTTCTTCTTAGAAGATCGAGAGATGGAACTCCAGTCGTGTGTTGAGTTCATGAGTTCCATTCGTTTGTGGTTCGCTGGGAAAGTAACCTTCCTTCCGTCTATATGACAAAAGAAATACATTTAGTTCGGACAGCCTCTTGTTATACGGCAGCCATGTCATGCAGAGAATTAATCATCACGAGGCATCATAACCTTTATAAATGAAGATGCTTGGCTAGAGATTTTTAACGAGGTTGTTTTCTACGGGATGGAGTTGGTTACCTTATGCCCAACCCTCTTCCTTTATCCGAATGTGGATCAGTGATCCAAAGGACACAATGGTGGATAGTCTCGCAATGTAGTGGATTGATTAAGGTTAGCCATTAACACCGTCAGATGCCACCTCAATGGTCTTAAAGTTTAGCGTCCATGCTAGAGATCAAAGATGTTGAGTTAGATTGTGGCGTGAAAAGTCGTAGATACCCACTGTTGAACGGTCTGAAATTAGAACGAAACGGCCATACAGCGCTTCCAGGTTTTCAATGGCTGTCTAACTTAGGTTGGTTCATGACATGCCATTCAACATTCCCCAAAACACTTTAGTAACAATTAATAAGGGCCTGTTTCAAGTACGTCCTGTTAATTTTATCAGTATTTCTGTCAGTTATGTCCATAACTAACCAATCAAATCATTGTTCAAGCGCCCACCACGTTGATCTATTTGGATGTGTTTGCAAAGTATCTCTGTTGCATGTGACCTACCACTTTGGAAATATTATTATCCTATTACATTGTTGGGACTCGCTATTCTGTTCATTTCGATAAGACACGCAATATGTTTGTGTGTTTCACTTAATAACTGTAATTTTCTTTAATTATTGTACTAATCTAATTGTTTTTACTTTCAGAAACAGATAAAGTTTAGAGCCAAGTTGTCCTTGTTCTGACTATAACTTTCACATAAACTCTGTTCGCCAGCATCGCGTTTACGGTTCTAGTAGTATATCTGTAAGACAAATGAAATACTACAATTTCAGGTTTTGATTTCTCAGCACTTTTTAAACTAAAAAATATATTTCTCTCTCGGGTTTATTTATTCACAGTTTAATTTTAATTTGAAGAAGTCACTATGCTTCGTGCTATTTTTATAGAAATAATGTAGATTTACTCCCAGTTGTGAACTGAGCAACATTTACGTTTGATGATGTCACAGGTATTCAGTGTTTGACAACGCTTCTACCAGTAACACCTTCTAATATATTTCGTTCCCGCCCAGAGAAATCAAAAGACAGAGTCGAGGAGATCGGAAGAGTATATTTGGCGATGACCAATATATCGGAATTCTCTGATCTAATCTGGCTAGCGATTGCGGTTGATGTTGAGCACGGCGTTATAACACGTGATCTGGTGCGGATGCCTGACCGAGCGCCTTCAGCTAGGTGAGTCCACTAAAACATATGGTCAGCATCCAATGTCGAAAACTTAGTGCTATTTATTTTGGGGATTTATTTACCGCTACACGTTGTTTACTTTGCTAGAATGCGTTATAGGTCAGATTATTATCGCTACATCCAACCGCAATTTTCATGATCAATTTCATGGACTAAATAAATTTATAACAACCTATTTCGTGCGGTTAAGAGTTGTTCGAATACATCTTGATTTATGGCCTCTGTTTAACCTGCTACTCACAGCTAGCTTACATGCTCAACAATTCTAAGCTTCCCTCTGTAGCACTACTATGAATAACTCGTTCAATATGTAATCAGAATATCGAGTTCAGAGTGAGTCTCTGACAGCTACGCTTGAACCGAAACATCGTCAGTTGTCCGTAAGAAATTCATGAAATCACCACCATTGTCACGCGAAAATTTTTTTTCGATCATCCTAATAATATCTGCTTTCGCTCTCAAATAGCCCTCAGATCAACTTTTTCTTTGTGAGTGTTAAGAGGTCAAAAAATTTCAAGGAATGTCAAACAGGACATGACTGATGTATGGTCAGGTTTATCGGTCATATAACAAGTTAAAAGCTACCATGTTAATTACCTGAATTTGTCTGTTATTGGGATGAATGTTACTTATACAGACAAATATAAGCGATATGTAGCACCAGCTGATAACGGGATGGCTGTCAGTAAGAGGTCGAAATGAGGAGAATAGGAAGAAAATCAGACAACAGTCAAAATAAAGACAGAATTAGAGGAACAATGGAGTACGTAAGAGAGAGCTCAAAGAAGATGTACAAATGATGCATTTAATGTGTGATCATATTTCATTAAGCCACAGTACGATATAACGTTAAACAATAACTTGGTTTTCCACACCTGATTTCTCGTTCACTACATTATTTCTACTACACATTAATGATAAGAAACTATAACCTAAAAAGGAAATAGTGTTGTATTCAGCCGAATCTAATTAAGTGTTTAAATAAAAAGCATAGAAAGCTCACTCGAAACTTTTGACCTATATATCAAACCTTGTCGTATTATAACTCTTATTTTAATGGTGTTTAATATCCAACCGGACTATTTGATTGTGTGTTGGAAAAACACTGAGCAACTCTTTTTAGAATTAGAAAAAAGTAAAGTTAATCTTTATTTAGCAATTAATATTAGTTCCAAAGCATTCAAAGTTCATTTGTTCTGGACCAGGGCATACACGACCACCATTTCTAGGTGCTGGTGAGTTGCATTTTCTATATCGACTACGTGTGCCCAATTTCGATGCACATTTTGAATTACAGTTACTCCAATTTGACCATCTCGACCATGAACCATCACCTGCAAGATAAAATGTTAACTTATTATCTGTATTATATAGTGATAAAAGCGCTTTCCTCGATAAATTTGTCTCATTGAATAATATTTATTTGTTCTAACTCTTTATTTTACAGTAATCATTAGTTCACTTAAAGGCCTGAAAGTTTTGGAAGCTAAGATACGAGCCATATATATGAGTCTTGTGACATGAAATAAAGGTAACCTCTCATTAGCAGTATTAAAATGGTGATAGAACAAACTTATAACATAGAATTTTAAGGAAATTCAGTCGGAACTAGTTGATAATATCTATTTTCAAATAATCATGTTATTAAATCTATTGGTAAAATAATTTTTCCCGATGAGATTTAATAATGTATTGCTGAAATCAAGTGGATTAACTAATGTTCATCTTTATATCAGTCGACTGTATTAACTAAACTAGGTTTTCAACATTCTAAGTGGCTGCTGTAATAAAGTGGATTGGCCATCTAACAAACTGATACGCAAATGGGATCACGGAAAGCATATATATATAAGTATGATTTAATTCAATGAGTATCATTAAATCCAACTGACAAATGAAAAATGAATTTATTTGGCACATCATTATTTATCACTTTATTTTACATAGTGACACTTTAACTGTCTCAGCAGTTTTGTTGGTTTACGTACTTCACTTATATGATCGATTGATTTACTACAGGTATATATTTTTATTTTTTAATATAGTATGTAATATGGTCTTTCCAATTAACTTTGTTTAGGAAACTAATAGATCAAAACTGTTGAAGATAATTGAAAGATTACAAATATATTTTAGATCGGTTTATCTGAGAGGCCGGCTCTGTATACAACAAACTTCAAACAAATCTATTCACCAATATAAGAAAATAATAGTTTTTATAGATATTAGTGTTTTTAGGTTAACTCGGAATAATCCAAACCTAGGGGTCTAAAGTGTTCGGGAAATCAAGTTGGACAAAAAAATGTGTTTTGACTAGTGTATTCAAAATCGTCCTGAAGTAAGCTGGTTACTTCTGAAATACAGTGAAGATAGAAATGTTAGAAGAAATCTAACGAACCGATTTTCTTCATTTGATTCCCTTCAGTTATTCTGAGTTCAACCACAAATGTAATACCAATTAAACATTTGCCTTTCGCAGTCCGTCTTTCCGCACTGCATAAAATCTTTTTAAAATTTGATAAGACTTATGGCATTACTTTTGTTGGATTATAAAACTGTTTTTTTAGTTTATATCATGTAAATGCAAGAAATACGGAGGATAATCGGATTTCATGCTTTCATTGATATAGAGCTGGAAAACTAGATTTATAGACTACCTTCAAGAAGCTGTCAGACAATTTGCTATGTAGGTAATGGTAAATTTAGAGACATTCTTGTTGCATGAGAATCGAAATTTTAATGTGGTGTAAAATCACATTTCATTTTATTACTTCAGTTAGATCAGTCAGCAGATTTCATGTTTAGTTTGTTAAGAATTGCTTGTTAAGTAAATTTAACATTAGCACAAATTGATATCATTTTATAGATTTTACAATAAACTCACCGGCTCCAATAATGACTACTGCCTCACAAGATTTTGAAAAATATAAATTACTCATTTCATCAGCAGATGCAATACTAATTTCATATGGTTGACCAATTTTTAGACCAAATATTTCTACAACATAATTTTCTCCCCATGGATCTAATTTGTTTAATTTAACTTCTTCAACATAAAGTTCAGATTTTCGGTAATGAACAGAATTTATAAGATCTAAAACATGTACTTCAAAATGAGATGGTATACGACCATATGGTGTTCGACGCCATTTAACTTGTGCAGATGGACTACGATGTATAGCTTGAAAAAAGCATGTAGTTGGTGGTTCAACTTTCACATCGGATGTATGACATGCTTCATTTATCCAACAGTGAATTTTACGTGTTTCACTTATTGTTGCTGTTGTTATCGTTGTTGATTCTAGTGGTAACTTCTGTTCATTTTGAGGATTTTCGTACTAAAAACATTTATTACTAGTTAAAATGTATTGGATTAATTCCATAAATGAAATATTTTATTTAAATAATAAGTGTTTCTTTGAGAACTTTTGACGCTGTAATGGTCAGACAATATTTTAATCGAATTTATAAGGTCTGTTATTTAAGATTAAGTTTTGTTTACTTTCAAGCATAAATATAATATTCTTGGTAATTCGGGTTAAGATAAGCGGCATAAATCTCCTTGTCGCAACATTACCCATATAATCCTGCAGAAAACCTATACTCTTTTCTGAATTAATATTGATTCCATGTCGAAGTTTGCATGAAATAGCCGTTGATGTTGTCAGGGGGTGACGATGAAAACTCTACAGCTAAATTACCTGGTTTAGAGAACTAAGTACAACTAAACAGATCCACATAGGCTTTAAATCATCCTTATCATTACGAAAATAATTAATTTGTTTTATCTCCTTAGGAATAATCTATCAGCAGTTTTATCTACAAAATAATATTTGATAGTTATTCTAAGTAGTGTTACTGTAAATCATGACAGTAGACAACCACTTACTTTTAAACAAATCAGTAGTTTCCAGAATACATTTGCATTCTATGTAATTTAGTGACATTGAGTGTTGATAATAAGCACGACCCAGTACAATGATTGGGTTGGCATCCCTTTCAAATTAACAACGTGATAAAATGTTTAGAAATATAATATTTCAAGTTAAACGAAACTAATCGAATATTCCTAAAAGAACAGTATTCACCTCTTTTATGGAATTAGATTCATTTAGTAACTTTCGGATTTGAAGTTGTAATCCTGGTTCACATCTTCTACCAGCTGGTGCCCGAGTTAAATTGAGCATTAATTCCCAGGGATATTCTTCTGGTAGTTCATCAATTGTAGGAATAATTGCTGAGCACTGTTGCAATGCTGTCCATGGTCCCCAAATTTCACTGCGTTCTGAATGTCTTTCCGTGGTCCGATCATCTACGCTCATAGAAAAGATGATGGAGCAAATTATTAACAGTATTTTTTTGTCGGATGACATAGATATATGGTTGCCTATAACATCTGCTGATATCAAATGGTCTGTTGCATTGGTTCAGTCTATGAATAATCATTAAGATTTAAAGCCACTTTACGAGGCACTGATTGGAAATAAAGTCACTGCAGTTTACTCGTTAGAACTAAACAATGTGTACAAATCTTATTAATATAAACGGTTTTTAATTGACACAAAACCCTGAAGATGAACGACTGCAAACACAAACGATTACTGGTCAGCAAAATGACCCGATTAGCATGAAAGTACGATACACTTTTTGATACAAAACAAATATGATCAAATATAATTTGAAATACCAATGATTGTAAGGTATGGGTTTTGTTGGTCACTCATCAGATTATCAAATCGTGATCCATTAATAGGTTGACTAACTGTCTACCATATTAAGACCAATATCTAGCGTATAGTAGTGAGTGAGATCTGAATGACATGTTTTCTAAAGCAACCGCAAAATTAGTTGGCTCATTTCAATGTTATTGCAGATTGAGTTCAATTACTTTACCCCTAGACATTGTGCCCACAGTCTCCAGCCATAGAGTGGTGAATGAAACAAATACCACATAGGTTACTATTTAACGATTAATCAATGTATATTAAGAATTATAAATTAGAGACATGTTTTCCATATTAGTAGGTGCATGTATGACAGATAATAGTCAAGATTAACATCAACTATAAAAATAATACTACTAATTTTACCTTCCATGTTGATTTTATTTTCAGTGGTATCTGTAAAATCACATCCATTTTCTCCACATTTAGAAGGCAAGCTTTTAACATTTGATTTTGACAATGAATGGAAGGAATGATTTTTGGATGAAGCTATAATTAGAAGAAAATAAGGAGTGTGTCTTGTTTTAATGAATTCTGAAACTGGAATTCGTGACAACATTAACACCTAAAAGTAGATTACAATAAATCATTTTAAAATTTAGTAGTTTCTTTGGATGTTTATGGTAAGAAGTGTGACTTTTAAAGTTCTCAACAGGCTTTCATTGTTTATTTACATATGGCACAATCCTTATCAAGTAAGTTTCATTTTCTTAAAGATAAACCCATAGACCTTCGTTTTATTTTGTAGAAATTAGGTAATATTGCCAATGGCATATCTCACAACGTACTTTTAGATGTAGAGTTATCCAACTGGTCTAAATAAGTTTAGAGGACTGAAGACTTTTCAATTTTGAGTGAAAAGGTTTTATTACTTAGAATTTGCTCCGATCACAATCGAAATTAGCTGAAGTACGAATTTTAGACTGTAAATATGCTCATGCCAACTGCGTACTCCTTAACGTGATAAAAATCTTATGCTCAATAGCGATTACCTTTCCGACGTTATGTTAAGAATCTGTGGGCTCTGGAGGTTAAATGTACTAAAGCATGAGTCAGACATCAGTTACAACATTTGGAGACTGTCGAATGTTATTGAGAACTAGCTGATATCTGGAGTGTGAAACATTAAATTCTGATTCATTGCTTTGCGAGTTTTGTGATTCTTGAGAGGGAAGGAAGTTTCGAGTTCGAGCCTCAGAAAGGTTTTGTTCATAAACTGGGGATTAAAACTTCAAACTAATGAGATTCCACAAAGCTTCTATCCTAATGCTAACAAACATATTTCGAAATGCTTTATTCCGATTTAAGGATAAGACTTCGTTTAAATCCACACAGAATTGCATCTATAGACTATGTTATGTCGAGTGTGATCAGTTCTACATGGAAGAATCTTCTAGTGAAATCTCGACTCGTACTAGGGTGTTGTACAAAAGATCCTAGTGATCCTGTCGAGTTGAAAATCTACAAATTGAATCTGTAATAGCAAGCTATATTTAACAACCACGGAATCGATATTAAAAATATCTAAAGGTTTTTCAAACTGTACAGACAAGTGGGTAGCTAAAGGGTTTTGCATATGGCCCCAGTAGAAAAAAGGTTTGGCTGTTCAACTGGGACTATTTGTTCAAACAACTAAATCTAAACTTGTTCATTTACCATAAAATGTACACATACACACACAAGTTTTAATTCCACCACTTCATATTACAAATTACATATTTCAGGTACCTACCATCGTACACACAAATATACAACGTGATGTCACACAAAATCCCCTTGACCAAAAATATTCACATGACATTGACCTAATTTGATTTAGATTAAACTAAGTATTCTGCCTTATCCCTTTAAACAATCTGAGTTTGTGTTAATTTAATTCGATTATTAACTTTTTACTCTGAATAAGTGCTTTACATTAAGTTATGAAACGTCAGAAATACAAATTTCGACTCATTGAGGTGTCATGAATATATATATGGTTTTAATGAATTTTTACTTGTACCATTCTTGGTGTTCTTACTTCACATCATGGGAATAGCTGAAGTTCCTTGTTTTACAAGTGATTCGGACATGACAATTAGCGACGACCAGACATAACATGCATATAGATTTATTTTACACATAATATTTATTTACTTTGAACAGTGAACTTTTCATGTCGATTAAGACAATATAATATAACCAAGAAATTAAAAGTACCAAGTTATTGGTGCATTACAAATGAAACACAAATTTGTGTAGAAAAAAAGAATTACACTGAGTACGAGTTGTGTTTTGATTTAGAAACTAGAGTATGCGATAATATAATCATAAAATTGTCTCTTAATTAATCTATCACCACATTAATGACATAACTAAACAGGGAATAATAAAGTTGAGAATGAAATTATTTTAATAAGCTAATGATAACATAATTCCGTTTTACTTTTGATCAATCAATTATTAGTCACATAAACTTTCCTGAATCCAATGTAGGGAAGATAGGTCTTGTTTGTGTGAGTAGGCTTTTAAGCTACATTATTAAAATCCAGTAGAATTCATTTAAAATATTATTTGAACAAGCTTCTTTGAACACTTATTAATATTCAGTAATATATCCTTTTCTCAGTTACTAATTATAACAGAAAATGATAGGAGTGTGTACTTTTAAGCGAAAATAATTATATGTATAGCCGACTTCAACAGTGTAAAATGAAAAAAAGGTAACAATAAATATTATTTCATGTTGAATAGGTCTATAATGTACCAAATTACCAAAACGAAAAACGATTACTTTTGTAGATACATTGAAGCAAATCCTGACAATGTTTGATATCAGTTTGAATCAAACCTTCTTCTGAGCAAGTAGATAAATCACCAGATAAATTAACACCTTTAATCATTGCTTGTGACCATAACAATTGTTCATTCATTGACTGAAATTGACATATTCGTTCTCGAAATAACAAATTCTCAATAATTTCCGATTTATTATTATTATAGTGATTTTTACAATGTTTATTTTGTGTACATCTTTCCCATTCGGACCATGTTGACCATAATAAAGCAGACCATGTTGGATTCCATGCAGTTGGTGATAAACTACTGATAGAATGAAAATTTGAATCTTTTGGTAGTTGAAAGTTTAAGAGTTGTCGTAAGAGTAAATTTTCTGAAAATAAAATATAAAATAACTATAGTATTTTCATTAATAATAGACTATTTTATCTATAGAATATAGAATGAAACATTTATTGTCAAGACTATAATTTATGAACGAACCAATCAGATATAAGATAACGAGTCTTGGAATTTGGCGCGAAATTTATTCATATATTTGGCTAGATAGCATTTTGACATTATAGCTGATATCAGTTCATGATGAAAACCCTAAATCTAATTCCTAATCCTAACTATCAACTGTAAATCATAATTCTAATTCCTCACACTGGTTCATAACACTCATTTAGTCCTAGTTGATAGGTGGACGTTTCCAAGGTCACTTTAGCATCGCTCAAAGGTCGTCCATAAATTGTAGTCTCACCCATTTATTGGATAAACCTAAAAAACAAATTACTGTTCGTAGCATCATATTGTAAATTATTGTATCACAAACACACTTTATATTCACTTAGTTCAATAAAATGATGAATATTAAAATTTCTATTTTCCATGTCGATGCTTCATACAAAACGAATGGTTAGTACATATTCTGAAAACCTGTAAAGTGGAGTTACAGAATGATAGCAACTAAATTTGAGAAGAAAGTGAATACACTGGTTGATATTTTGATAGATGGATAGTATCCAAACCTCATAGTTCTGAATTTACTGTCGAAAGGTGTTAGGACTGACTACAATTCAAAGAAAACAAACTAAATTTCTTAAAATAAATGATACATAATGTCATTTTTTTAAATTTCTATTGCCCTTTGGACGATGTTGATCTGCAAATCTGGTAAAAGGATTTATTCAGTTCACAAGTCAATGAACACATTTATCAATAATGAATTGAGTGTACTGGAATAAAATTGATCAACACTTTGATTTTGACAAAAACTGACTGACATAATTAGTCAAACGAGCTATTATAGTCTTTATTCTTGAACATAAGCTTTTAGTATTGGGAAGTCTCACTGAGCTTGCAAGTATTTAACATTTATTTAATTGAGGAAAACGGTGCATAGTGTACTTTCTAATTAGTGAGTAGTTCTAGTTTTCAGATAAATAATCAGATAGACAACTACAAAAGAATGTATTTCACTTTTCTTGGTATATACAATATATATGTACCATACTGTGATCTTTCAGTTATTCATCAGTATTACTTTGTCCACAATCACTGTTCTCTATGAATATGATAGAAAAGTTACTTGTTGATTTGTTGACGTTTATGTTTGAATATTTACTCAACACTACATTTACTTTAATGTTAATTTCGCCCGTATGGATAATGTTGTTAAAAAAAGTAAGAGTGGACTGTTTTTTATTATTATACACATGAATTGGTTAAGTGGGAACTGAGAAATTGGACGTCAAAGTATATTCCAGAAAACTTGAAGGTCTACGGTTAAACCTCATAACTTGCGAAGAAATCAGTGGTTATTTGGACTCAATAAGTTGGTGGATATGTTTAGTGGCATTTAAGGGTTAGATAGTGGGGTTGTGTCTTAGTGAGAACATAAACATTGGGATGCAGGTGCGTACGGCTGATGAGACCTGACTAGGAGGAAACGCGCGTCCCAGATTACACTGTTAGCATCTGTTCAAATATACTTAAACTTCGGCTCGAATTCCTCTTCATTATCAACATTAAATATTACTATTAGAGAGCGCATCTGTGTTGTTTGTCAGCACTGTCTATTCTGGGCAGAACTAATCAGTGTATATTCGTATATAGTTTGATATTCGCATATATTTTTTCATTTTAGTTGTTGTTTCACTTCGGATTAAGAATGGAATAGTGAACAAATACTAGTTTTCCCCTTTTTTGAGAATTTTATGCCTAAAAACATTTTGTCAAGAATCGACCATTCAATCTAGGTTGAGATTTTATAATGTAAAGCCACTAGGCAATGAACTCAGAGCCGTAATCTAAACACAAATCATTTAACCGAGAGAGTAAAACTAGAAGTTACTTGTCAGACGAATGATGCACATATAAGTTACAACACAAATAATGATATTGTACTTTAGTTCGTTAGTTTAGAATTCATGTTCTGATAAGTGAAAGTTCTTAATAACTGTGATACATTTTTAAGTAATCAAAAGACCAGTATTTTTTTAGTCTGTATAGCCATCTAACCAGTGAGATGAAACAATACTCAATTATAAAATCAAGTGGTGTCATTCAGTTCAGTCAGTGAAATTCCTTGTATGAATTTAGTTATATATAAGCTCCATGTTTGGGATTACTGGTTATTAGGAATCTTCAACAAAACTTATTCCTATTGTTCAGGTAACTAGTACTGACTTCGAAATTCGGTCCTTATTCACTTTGACCTACTGTTGGCAACGTTACTATTAAATGATTCGAATTGTGTATAATGAAAGACGTATAACATAATTGTCATCGAAATGATTTCGATTTATCTACAGCATGACCGCTATCAATGGGACGTGCCAATATAGAACTGAGAATAGATTTTATCTGGCCCTTTATGTACCAAGTTGGTAGATGTTCACTCATTCGTTGGTTAAGTTGCCTGGTAGTACTCCCTATATAGCTATCTCCACAGGAGCAGCTGAATTTGTAAATGCACATGGAAGAGGCCAACTCAGGTAACTTATCCTTCGTTTGAGTAGACATCGCTGGTCGACAAGAGAAGGTCAACGCAAGATTGGCTGCGTAGAATGTCCTGGTGATTACTTTGGTTAACCTATATTTCAGAGTGTCACTAGCCACATCCCCGTTGAATTGCACTTTCATGTATAAAGGTTTCTTACGAACAGTCGAAATCACCGACTTCTTTATTATATCATCACTGACCGAGATCGGCTACCCCAGCGCATTCATTAAGAAGTACATCATTTCCCGACGGAGTCCGTTCCCGTCTCCTACATATAGCTGAAGCCATTGGAATTCGTACATATAACCCCAATTTATGTGTACAGAAGAAATACGTGACCCCCCTATCCCTTCCATGGCCGGTTATAACTTAACTAACAATTTTTTTAAAAATTTTATTATTATCATTATTTATTTTATTATATTTGTGTTATCGTTAACCTTATTTCCACATCCATTATTTGTTTGTGATTTTCCGCCTCTTCGTATTCTGCACTATCTAATTATTTACACACATCTTATTACGTAATGATTTTAATGTTTTGTGATTATTATTCCTAGTCTATTTACCCATGTTTGACCTTCTGTTCCCAACGTTTAACTATTGATAATAGTTTTGTTATTGTATTTTATTATTCTAACTATTATCAGTTCACCTGTCTTCCTACTATAAACTTGTACTTTTACCTATTATGTGTAGAGACTTATTCTATTTCACTGTGATTATTGACCCATATTGCCTTGATTGGTTTAAAAAATTTTTCGTAGAAATGAGTATGTTTAAGTGGACAGAAAGGGACGTTCAATGTATTTTTTTTAGATAAAAGCAATAATCTCATTACACAGTCTGAGGTGAACACAAGTATGAAAGCTATTTTATATGCAAACAAACATACAAAACTCTCTATTGTGATCGTGTTCGATTAGGTGTCATGTTAAAATCAAAATATTAATTAAGAGCCATGAAAGTATTGTGTTAAATATTCTACATAATATTTCTTCTTTTTATGAGATCTAAAGTGAACTTTAACTACAGACTGATAATATAGAAGGCTGTATCATTAATCAATAGAAATGTAATCATTGATCCTCCATTGTGTTGTCATACTTTTATCCACAGTGACTAAAAGGTTATAACTAAAAACTTAACAAAAAGAAATTTTGTTCCCTCAGCTATTAAACCCAAGTTGCTTAGTTCTGTAATAACAGATTTGAACATCGATCAGTTTACATTTGAATGAACACCTAAGATTCTATTTGTGGTCTATTCAATTTTTATTTATCAAAGGATATTCAATGTATTATATTCACAGAAACTGATGTTTATAAAATTCATTAGAATAAATTATAATCATTAAAACCAATTTTTTAAATATCTTCTTCAATATATATATGTATAAAAATACTCACTTGAATATTCTTCTGAAGTGTCAACAGGGAATCCATCAATTTCTATCATTATATATATCAATATCACTGTCAATGTATATCCCATCCGTAGAATTTATTGAATACAACCGTCTATTATAGGTTAAAATAATTGACATATTATAAATCTTCAAAAGATTTTTAATCTGATAGTTGAGATCATGAGTCAATTGAAGCTAGACCACCATGGAAAACCTGGAAGCCATTTCGTTCTATTGTGGGACTTTTCAGCGGTGCGCATCTATGATCCCGCTTAGCGGGAGTCAAACACGGGACGTATCGGTATCACGCGCTGACGCTTAACCTCTAGATCATTGAGTCGGTATCCAACGGTGTTAATGTCTAACTTCAACCAATCCACAAAATTAATCGTTATACCTACTTCTTAAACAGTCATTTGTTGAGCGTTGATTAAACACAAATTAATTGATTGAATAAGTGATGAATAAAGGATCTTAACTAATTTAATACATTTAACATACACATATTTATCTGTCCACATACCTACAAATAAATCAATTAAATTTAAGCTTTATACCATTTAAATTTGTTTTAAATATATCAGTACAATTATTGTATTGGTTGATAAACTTGAAAGGGGACTAGTAACCAAGTGAAATATTTTAGGACACAAGGTGTTATAATTTTTAAAAAAAGTGACTGATATTAAACTAAGTTTAATACCATATTACAATAAAAATAACCAGGAAAAACGTTTTGTAACTAATCTACACAAATACTACTTATCTCTGTATACCATCCTACTAGTGTTTTTCATATTGTAAAAGGTAAAAAAAGATAACCTCATATAGTTGGGATAAAAAGTATTCAGTTTTTATTCGGCTTTTATTTAACCAGCCGATATTTTTTTATAGGTATGAAGAAGGCTATAGGATCAACTTAGCCTTTAAAACAAGTTAGAAGTAAATGAAGAGTTAGAAAATACTCAACAAAGTTAACTTGCATATAGAATGAACATAACTGTTACTATGACAATGACAATATAGAAACCAAAAGTGAAACAATTTGAATATACCTTCGAATTACAAACAAATTTATTTGACTTCAATTGATCTAGTTCCTCTTATGGCATTTTCACAGTTATATACTATATGTCAATATTGTTAAATTACAAACTTGTTAACTTGCTATTATGTTTATAAATAACACAGTGAATGTACTTTTTTATATGAATAACTAGAAATTGAATGGTATTAGTTCTATGTTCATTAGTGTGTTAATTAGATCGGTATCAAGCCACGAAAGGTAGCAAATCGGAACACTGTATTTCTTCATTTAATTTTCATTTCTCGTTTCACCTCATAGTTCAGTAATATTACGTGTATACGTTTAGAGAAAACACTAAAAATATTTGTTAACTCGGTGACTATTCATGTTGATTTCTTAATTGTACGTAATAAAATCCTATGAGGGAAAAATCTTAAATAATTACTGTTCTGTTTATCTTTAACTTGCATCTCTTCTTGTGTAGCACTGTGTTTTGCTTTATGCTACTTATTATGCATAAGTAGCTTGCTTCGTTTGACCAACTTTTAGAGTTTTCAGAATTGTCTTATCGCCTTGGTTTGGTGAATTCCGTATTTTATCAATTCGCTATTTTCTTTCCGTTTATTCTTTTTCTTTCGTCATAGTAGTTAAAGGTCCTGTTTCACTGGCTAATTTTATTTTTACGCTCGCTCCACATTTTTTCTTAAATTTCAGAGAATATGTTTATTTCGAAACGAAGTGCATCATTTAGTATCATCAATAGCTCATATTCGTGTTAAGTTCTACTTTGTTTTAAACTGAAATTGGGAACTTCACAACAGAACAAACTTATGATCTCATTTCTTATTTTGCTTATTATAACGGTACGTTTGAAATGTTTTATTATACAAATCGGAATCCTTATACTGAACTTATGGCAGCAGAATTTCAATTTGGTTGGATAATTAGAGATTAAAGTTAGATGAAAAATTTTGAGGACGTTATTTCTCAAGTCAAGATGGAAATCAAAATTCTCAACGTAACTGGGAAGCCTTTGGTAGAATCAGCATTCAATAGTTCGACATCCATAAATTCCTAGTGACTGGACAGGTCTGTATTATGTGACTGAGAGTGAAGTAAAATGGTCAGTAGTATCTCGAGCGTTTATTTATGATTTATGATTATATACTGCGTGTAGTGACCGCTGATTTCTCTAATTTACATATGTTATGATATTCGAATAAAAATATATCACAATCAATCAAATTATTTGTCGTGTACCTCTTATTAAGTTGGGATATTACTCAGTTTTCTGAACCTCTGAAGCTCAGTCATGGAAAATGTTTAAATGGTCTGACGGGAATTTACAGTGTTTTGTCAAGTGCTCCGATTGCTCCAAGTATTATATTACGAAGAAATTTTTCCAGTCATTTGGCAAATAAATAAATGCAGATATGTAGACTTTATATTTGGATAGCTAGTAATAGGTAATCAGTTTATAATCTGTCAAGCAAAAACATAAAGCTGATAAGCAACAAATTTTAGTACAGAATATGCAGAGAGCAACAGAATAACTCCACTATCATATAGTGTGCATAATAGAAAATAATTCTGTTCAATCCTTCAGATTTAAATGTACGTTGACTGAAAGTATTCCTCGGTGCTCATCAATGAACACTTAAAATTAAAAATCAAAATGTAATGAATAGTTATGAAGGATTCATAAGCAGCTGATGTCGCTGTGGGTAACAAAACATCTTTCCTACATATTTCACCATTCAAACTAGTAAAGATCAATTTTACAGGTTAACTTGCAAAATAGTAACTCCTATTGAGTAATTTAATGGATTAAGGTGGACAAAAAATTCACTGTACAACAAATTGACTAAAATATTCGTTTTATTGAGCTCAACAATGTGTACAAACTGCTTTATATAAAGTCCAGTACAGGGTTTATAAAACTCATGGAAACCACAATAAAGTGTTGGTTCTGAATGGAATGGTTTACATTTATCAAGCCTTAAAATGTTATGTTAAATCCTAAGGATAAAAGACACTATACATAAGCTAATACCATAACCTATACATATCACTTGTAAAACTGTTATTGAGTAATTTGAAGACAATAGTTAAGTCACCTTTATTTCTAACGCATGATAAGTGGAACACATTCAGTTTGCCCAATCAGTCGTCATAAATTAGCTTTTCTGTTTCTGAAACCAACTTAATTGTAGCGCTTTGAATCTTTTCTAACAACTATCTTTTACCAGGCGAATAAGTCCTCAAAATGAATGGCTTCACAAATCTTCAATATCGATACCGGCACTACCTGTTTAACTACACATACTCCTGGCTGAAGACGTTGGTTCAAGCGTCCTAACCAGATCACGTTTGAGCACGCATTGTTGCACAGACACGGGGAAAAAATTCATTTCGACATTGAAGTGGTCACTTTTCGATTTCGACGACTTTGAGAGGTTTATATCACATCGATCGTTCCATATTTGAAATGCAATAGGTCGGTGGCATATTTATAACCTACTTTAACCTAATTTTACCTGTGCATTTAGGTTTTGGAAAATATTAAATGATGGACAGGTATGTGCATCGCCTTTTTTTAAATATATTTTAGCTAAATAAAACCTTTGTGTAGTGTTGTTTAATTGCAGACATATGGCTAGTAGTACGTGGGTTTGGAAATTTTGTCGTTACGTTAAGACATTGATTCTTCTGTCCATTTATTCAACAGTACTACTGTATCACGTACTTCAAGGAGTATTTTGATTGACTTAACGGATATTTCTAGAAAAGCAGTTTTATACCAAACGTTCTCGACATGTGATGAATTCGAAAACAACTTAAAAGTACTCTAACGTCTAATAATAATATAGTTCTAATTAATGCAGATATCATGTGCTCACTGCACTCATCTAAAAAATAAAGATTCACTCACTGAGCATTGTAAACATTTATTTATTGTCTCAAAATACACGTTCGGCATGGAAATAAACTACGAGGAGTCTGTATTGTTGGTAAGGTTGTAGATTTCCAAAGTAGGTGATTTTTGTCAATGACTAGGAGGCTTACTCGAGTTGGACGGGAATGGCGTGACCAATTAACTGACGTCGATGTCATACCTCATGGTTAACACCTAGCACGGATTAGCCTTTCATCGTGTCCGGGTACTAGGACTTCTTCGATAACCATACAATACAAACAACGTTATTACAAAAGTATATCAGTAAGAGTAGGTACAAGAAACAGAAAGTGACCACCGCCATATTCACCAGTCCATGGCGTGCAACTGATTGTCTTTGAACTTAACGAGGACCGGAAAAATGTTCGATATTCAGTGACCTGACTACTGAATGCTTTGGCTATGACTCATTGACATTTCACTGGCCCTAAAACACTCCCCAACAGATTCACTAGCCGTTCAAATGGTACTAAGTATGTCGGGAGTAGTCATTTCCATGCGTGACAACGTGGGTCTATGTTTCATAGTTGTTTGTCGTTGTTTCATATAGCTGTAAGTAATGGGAAAAATAGCCGCAAGCACCACATCATTTTCCTTTAATTTTCTGTGTGTGCAAAACCATTTTTTTATCGCTTGCAGTAACGGAATGCATTTCTTTATCCATCGACCCCAGAAGGTATTAGTTAGACAATTTACTTGGCCCCATCGTTTCGAATACTAGAATACTGCACTTTATCCCTAAACCATTACAATCTCTTAGTAGTAGCAGGGTGTTTGGCGCGAGCACCAAGTCATCCTTTTCATGTGATGTGAACGGGAATGATGTGGCGATTAGTTAAAATTGTTTCCATCTCCACAAAGTAGGTTGCTGAACTATCATCATGTAAGATCTGTTAGTTGAAAATGGATGGCAAGATCCTCCGAAGAGAGTGTACCAGTCTCTTCCAAACTCCACCTCGATGGCTAGCTAGTAGGGATTGAATTACCGGTATATCAACTTTAAGGTTGTGGTCATTTATCCTATGCTTGTCCCATACACTTATATCAGATCGAAATTCAGAAGTTGCTCGACAAAGCTAGTTACGTTGTCACTGTAGATTTATTTTGGAATCACTCTCCTTACTATGTAACGTATTTATGCCATTATGAAATCATTAGTAATCAAATTGAAAGCTACTTCTAGGTGTACGGCACGCGTTTCGGGACTCGTAAATACGAATCCATACCTCTTTTCCTCACTTCCTTCCCGACGAACCATCAACGGTCCAAAATAGTCGATTCCCACTGAGGAAAAGGAGAATCGATCTTGCTGAACTCGACACTTAGAAAGGGGTATCATCATTTACTGGGACAATGTAGCTTTCATACGCACACACCCCACGCAGTTACTTATCGTTCGTCTAAAATCACTGAATCCCCCAAACAACCCAATGATTTCTGTGTATGATATCTAATACATGTGATGTCTCAGTGTGGCCTTGTCTGTATTGGCAGTGTCGGATAATCAGTTTTGTTACACACTGATGACCGAGTAAGATCACAGGATGTTTGAGTGGGAGTAGATAATTCGAGTAGTTTAATCTTCCACCAACACAAAGTAGTCCTTCGCCGAACGTAGGGGACAGATTTTGTAACTTCGTTTGCCATACCTTCGCAATTGTAATGAAGTTGTTTCACAGCATCCTCATATATATCCTTTTGCCCTAAGACAAATAGACTGCGTTTAGCCGTATCAGTTCCATCAACTGTCTGACAGCCTATACTTGAAGACCTGTCTTTTTGACAAGAGCAGATGGTGGTCGTATAGGTCACATATCTCCTGAGCCACCCTACCGCTTTATTCAGCTTTAACCAATTCGACTGGTATAACAGGACTGGACTTGAGTTATGTTTTACCGTGCCTGTGTTCGTCGTGTGAGCTCTTTTAAATTCAACGTTTTTTGAAGGCGTTTCCCAAATGAGCTTCGGTATTTTTATAAACTCCCTATTCCATGGGAATTAACGGCCCTCAATTCAGATTTTTAAGTCTAATCCATTCTGTATGTCTCGTGACATCCAGCCTGTAGGATTTTTCTTGGATCCAACATGTCCCCACAGCCCATAAACGTTAACCGGTGAGTAACAGTCAGGCGACTAGCTATTAAGTTAGAATACCTGCTCTTCGTATTCCCCACGTGGTACAGAACTATCATAGAATCCATCCTAAAATGAGTCTTACAAAACGTGTGTGGAAGACTTTTATTTAAAACTTCACCCATTCGGACATTCGATACTGTCCCTGTTACCTCTAATCTAGGAACAATTGCCGGTTTTATAGGAATGACTATGGCCCTACCATAGAGCAAAATGCTGTACGGGTTTTGTGCCTACGGATATTCTGCGAGTAGGCTACCGCACCGTAACCTGTTTCGGAGGCATCAGAAAGCAAATGAAACTCAGTCACCCCAAAGTTCTCTCTATTCTTATTTCTAATGTTTTAGGGAACGTTGATTATCCCATTCTTACGCACAAACTTAACCCGACCGTTTCACGAGTATACAACACTAGCAATTAGGAGCTGGTCTCAACCAATGTGTGACTTACAAAATGTCATTGAGAGCTGCTTGGTAGGAAGGTATATTGGAGCAATTAGGCCTAGTGGATAAAAGGAATGGAAAAGTGGATGATATTTCCATCCTAATTAGGGTTTTTTTCTCTAGGTCGCATTGATATTCTATAACGACGTGTACGGTGTCCCATTCGATCCCAAGGGTTTGATGGGTGGACCCTTCGTTCAAGGGCATAACAACTACCGTTACCATACTATCGGTTTTTGAAAAATTCGTCTACCAGTTCTTACGCAGTTACCCATTTTTTTCACCCTAAAACCTCATTGAGCCATCAATTCATTAAATTGCGCAATAAATTACTTTACATCATCCTTATTGGGATAGTATATTAGGTAATCGTCCACGCAAAAGTTGTGTAGTACCGAATCCATTAGAAAACGTTTGGGCTGTCTTCATCAATGTGAAATCGACACAGAAGTGTGAGGTTATTACTCTGAAGGGGTGTGATGTCCCCTGATATTCCACAGGTTCTTTCGCGAGATCAGCCTCTGGCCACCATAGGAAAAGTAGTGTTCTACAATTGGCCTTCGAGACTTTAAGTTGCATGAACATTTTTTCTGCATCTGCAGAAACGGCAACCGGTTCCTTGTGGAAGCGTCACAGGATACCAACTAAGTTTACTGTTGTATCTTGACTTTGGTAGAGATCATAATTAGACAACTGAAAAAAAGAATATTCAAAGCCATGCCTGCTACAGCCATTTAGGAGAATACACTCATAATTTATGTCCGAAAGATAATCACAATGTAGTTTTCCTTCATTTTTGTTTTTAAGGTAGTAGTATCTGAATAACACTATCTAGGCCGTGGTACTGGATATTGAACGACCTTACAAATCTTTTGGGTCGTTTATTTATTGACCTTCACTTGCATGAATGATTTGTGTTCGTGAATTGCAGAAAATTAGAGGCAGCAACAGGCGATTGTGGACTTTAAGTTGGAATCATAAAGGATCTGTCTTGGTTTCCGGTGGGGAAGACAGAATAATCAAGTCATGGGCTAAATGTGACGATGAATCATGGGTTATCAGCTTCTCTCTCCCTGAGGCACACAAAAGATCAATTAGATGCATAACATGGTCGCCATGTGGTAACTACATAGCCTCGGCGAGTTTTGATGGAACAGTAGCCATTTGGAAAGTTTTCAAAGAGGCTTCAGGGCACGAAATGGAGGCGCTTGTGACATTAGAAGGTATGTTTTGACACAATACATTAAATTAAAACCATTTCGTCGTGTCACATATAACAAATTAAATAAAGTTGACCATGCTTGTTTGTTATTTTGGTCTAGTACACAATGTGGTTCTCCGAGACTTATTCGGTCTTTTCTTTAGATTCACTTGCACTTGTGACATAAATTTGTTTCTGAATTCAGGTGGACCTTGGTAATTTTTTTATTTATTAGTAGTTTACAATGCAGCAAAATAGCCTTGCTGTTAGACAAGATGGATTAATTTCTTAACACGGAGTAGTATTTAAACTGCTGTTTTTATTTATCGTAAGAATCTGATTAATATACCTTGTTTAAATCATTCTTCTTCATACAATGGAAAACGAACCTGTCTGTAATTTGGTAGCTTCCGTGGACTTCATTATAATATATACAGTTTGGGATTGTTTATTGAAGAAGGATGTGCCTGAGAAGTTTATTAACATCCTAAAAGCCCTATATACAAACACCTCAGGCAGAATAAGGGCATACAACCACCTCCCTCCATTGTTCCATTCAAGCAGTGGAGTTAGACAGGGTTGCCTAATCTCACCATTCCTCTTCAATTTTGCCATCGATGACATTCTGGAAACAGCTCCGATGGGTGTAAGTAATGACTGTGTTAATCTGTTGCCTGGAGAAAGAATTCTCGACCTTGAGTATGCGGATGATATTGTCTTACTGTACGATAATGCCCAAGCCATGCGATCCGCACTTAATCAGTTTGCAATCAGTGTCCGTAGGCATGGTATGTGCTTTGCACCTTCTAAGTGCAAAGTACTTCTACAAGACTGGCAGGATTCTAATCCTGTACTCACCCTGGATGATGAGCAGATAGACGTAGTCGAGAAGTTCGTGTATCTGGGTAGCTGCATAAGTGCTGGTGGTGGCGTGAGTGATGAGATCAATGCACGAATAGTGAAAGCCAGAGCGGCTTATGCCAATCTGGGCCATCTTTGGCAGCTTCGTGATGTCAGTCTGGCTGTAAAAGGTCGGATCTACAACGCGTCGGTGAGAGCAGTTTCGCTCTACGTTTGTGAAACCTAACCTCTCCGAGTTGGGGATGTTAGACGACTCTCTGTGTTTGACCATCGTTGTCTCCGAAGGATTGCTGACATCCAGTAGCAACACCATGTTAGTAATGCAGAGGTTCGGCATCGTGTGTTCGGGCGCAGAGATGATAATTCAATTGGTGTCACCATCTTGAAACACCGACTTCAGGGGCTTGGACATGTTCTACGAATGTCGTCCCAGAGAATTCCACGTCGTGCATTATTTGCAGACACCGGGACTGGTTGGAAAAGGCGGAGAGGTGATCTGTGTAGGACATGGTGTCGTGGTATGAAAGAAAGCTGCAAAGAGCTGGCTTCTATTGATTCTTCACGACTCCCTGGCTGAGGTTCGAGAGATGGTGCGACACAGTGGATAGAGACGTTATCAGATATGACTCAGAATACAAACCAGTGACGATCCTGCTGTAACCTTCTTCATGAAAAGTGGCCGTAACTTCTTTAACTGAAAAAATTTCTGTTTGTATCTTTCTGTTTCTCCCATTATTATTATTGTCACTATTATTTTTGTCATTATTATTATTTCACTACCAAACACCAATTTGTGGTCGTTATTGTTCTTTTTCTTCTTTTTATGCGCACCTTACATTCTTTATCTCTTCCCATTCTCATTGTCATTATGTGGCACATATGTATCTGGTGCCTCCTTGTACCAATATTTATGTGTTCAAATAAATAATTAAATGAATGGTGTGTACGAAGGATTCACGTAAATGAGTTGGAAAACCCTGATTCCAAAGCAATGGTGCACATGAACTCGAGGATCTTGAGGCAACTAGTGGTGTGTAAACCTGTTGTTGGTCATCGGCAACCATTTACTGCACCTCCCTATTTTGCTCCACTGCCTTGTGGATTAGACCTTTAGGTCAAAGGCTCGGGGTGTACCTTCCTAAGAAGACCGCTTGCTTCGTTTCGGTACCTGGGGAGCATCTCATCCCTCACACAAATCGGTTGATTTTTGTGGATGACTACATTTGCGATGATTTGTTCATAAGCCATCCTGTTTGAATTCAGATTGTTTTCTCACCTGACTTGTGGAGCTCACATTTTCTTTGCCGTAAACTTTCTCATTAATGCTCACTTTTCAAATCTGAGACGAACAAAGTACGTAGCTTTTCATGGGCTAAGCATAGGGAAATATTTTTTTCGGCAGGTAGTGTATCGGTGAGGTATTATGTAGCTTTAATACTTTATTATAAGTAGTCTATCAATTTCACACTAATGCAAACTACTTTTTGTTGTTTTTCTCATGGATATTAGGGCATACTAGCGAAGTCAAGTGTGTTGCTTGGTGCCCATCCGGTCATCTGATAGCAACTTGTGGTCGAGATAAAAGTGTCTGGTTGTGGGAATTTGATGACGAAGAGGATGTTCAGTGTGTAAGCGTTCTGCAGCCCCATTCACAGGATGTGAAATCAGTAGCCTGGCATCCAGACGGTGAGGTGAGTACGCTTCGTAAGTATTTTTCATGTTAAAATGCTGCCAATAATGGTTGGGTGCAGGTTGATTTTCGTTCACATTGTGGATCCATTGTTCACATCTTCACTGCCAGTCTATATATATATGCTTGAATCTTAAAATTAAGCCTTCTATGTCTTACTAGGCTTTACAACTAGTAATGGCTAAATACAAAAAGATTTTATTTATAGTTCAAATTAAAATGCAATATTGGTGCAGATTGGCATAACATAAAATCCACTGATTATTGAAATTATTTGCTGTTTTCGTATCATTCATATATGAGAGTTGGATTGAGACGATTACTAATAAGCACTATAAATATAATGGTTTCTCATAGTTTAAAATCTTAAACCTGGTAATTGTCAGACACATTCAAGCTAGTTTGGATAATTTGATAGATTAGTGTCTAGGAGTTGCCACTTAAATTGGTTAAGCTTTTTAGGATTATAGGTAAAACAATGGCTTTTTCCTTAAGTGATGTAAAAGCTTCTTAGTCTGGTATTCGTTTTCAAACAATACGTCGTCTTTTCTTGCTAAGACGTTCCGTCATCGTAAAAATACCTCGGGACTCCAATAGTTGACGAAACTAATTTTTACTACTAATTTGCACAAGGTTATCACTGTTTTTGTACGTTTAATAGTGTTAGACCTTGTAAAAACATCTGTGTGCTAACTAGCAGGAAATGTAGGTTGGCTTACCGCCAACCACTTAACACCAAAACAGTGTGCGCGATACCGAGTTACTCAGACTTCACTATCTGACGGGGTGGTCGGGGTTGCTTAATGTGATGAATGAATTAGGCCGTATTGACCAGGACAATCGTCCCTCAGGGTCTTACCATGCCAGGTCGGTTGAAGAGCGGTAAAACCAAAAGCAGCGAACCCAAAGTCCGAGGGCGAAGTTGTACTGCTGATTGTACAGAGGTGTGGCGGCAGTAAGGTGTTTTACTCAGACAAGCAGCATAATAGCGATGCTGCCTTTCCTCAAAGGAAGTGTGGGGTTAGAAAAGGCCGACCCTGGAGATGCACACCGTCTTATCTCACAGATATCCGTCTCCGACGGTAAGGCCTCAACAAGTACGAAGCTAACACAAAACTTACCCACAAAAAGGTCATATGTGACCGGCTTCAAGAAGTTTTCCCTTGGACACTGCGGTCACGCTGTCAGGTCAATAAGACCAAATTTATCTCCATTTCCTGTCCAGGTACCTCTAGAAGAACTCTTCCACGGTGTGGATAACCGGGAAGTGATAACCGCCTTCATCCTTCTAACAGCACTCGAGACCACTATATTCATAATCATTTTCCCTCTAACAGTGGCTAAATTGCCACTTATTCTGTAGAATCTGATCAGCACCAAGAACTAGACAGATGTGTAATTAATCACTACTGATTATGCGGTCAAATTCAGGTTTGCCTATTTATTTTTGCCATGTTCGAGTTGACCTCTTTTTTCCGTCATTTGTGTTTTATATAGGTTCTGGTTTCTACAAGTTATGACAATAAGATAAATGTGTATAAAGAGGAACTTGATGATTGGGCTGTTTTTGTTCAGCTAAGTAAGTGATGAGTATCCTAATTTGTGATCAATTTTCTTTTTAAACTGGTATCATTTTATTTAATCTTCAGAGCTACTTCCGTATTTAATGAAATAATTTTAAGTACTAGTGAGTAGTTTATATTTCTACACTAAATATTCGACGACTCATCTCATGCTAATGCTATACATCACCTTTTTGGATCATGTAATATTAAATAAACGGATTTAGTCAAATTACCATCTAGGTGTTTTATTTAAAACTTCGTTTAATTGGATACCTTTTATCTGAAATTTGAAAGACTTGTTTTTTGTTTTTGTGAATCAGTTCATTCTATTAATTTATAACATGTCATGGTGTCAAGAGTTCACTGATATCAAACTAACTCTTTCCTCATGTTAATCAAGATACTTGTTTTTTCTTAGAAAGTTTAATGTACGGTGCACCTCTTCGTTTTATTTAGGAGCATGCTATTTTTACTGTTATCCTTTGAAGTGAATATGCTCTGAATGTAAGATCTTAATTTAGTTGAAGCAGTTCCTTTAGCTTAACTGAACTACTCATAAAGGATTAAATGTAAGCTGTTAGGCAGCGTTTAGAGACGGAAGTTTTTTTGAAAGGAGTGGGAAAACTTCAGTCGAAAATTCGTTAAGTCTAAAGTATAGGTCAGGAAAAAGTTAAATTGATTTATTGCTTTACAGTGATTTTTGCAAGTTATGGCCCTTATGAGATAGTGAGTGACTATTCAGTAGGTCTTCTTGAATTATACACATTCTGTTCCCTCTAGCAACTCGATTATAACATTTCCAGGAATTTGAAGTTATATTTTGTTAACTTTTCGTCAGCTGACTAGTACCTGTACAAATAAATACATAACCATCGTGTAAATGAATTTAATTTACGTGTAGAATGTAAAGATGTGCTGTTCACTCTTTCAAAATAAAACTTAAGACTACAAAATGATGAGACTAAGTATAAATGTTTGTCTTCTATACTTTGATTGGTTAGTGATTATCGACCATAACCAGTTGCCCAAACCTAGTTAGGCAAGGCAGAGTTTCAACCTACTGTCTATTAGTTGGAAGTCAGATGTCATAATCACTAAGACACCGCCTCACGTTGTTAATGAGAACAAGCTTGAAGTCGATATAAACTAATTTGAAGTCGTCAGTTATGTTGTATGTTGAATAAATTACTCAAATCACCCTTCAGTTGTACTTTTCATTATCATGTTGATGATATTTTAAGCAGAGATGAATAGTAGCTAGCACTGTAATGTGGTACACTCGTTTCCTCCTGTTTGATAATAGTTGGAATGGGAAGTCTAAAATACACATTTAGTAGGAAGTGGGGAGTATTGACTTCAAGATTTTCACACATTACTAAAAAGGTAGGAGATCTTAAAGCGCTTTTCTTCAACACATAAATTGGTTTGAATTCACCTTATGATACATAGTAGCTATTAGTTAATATAAATCAATAAACATGTACAGGTTGTTGTATTGCCTGGCAACTGGAATTTCAATAAGTAAGACAGCTTTTGAACCTGTAACCGAATATCTGGAAGCCAAGTGCTTCACCTACTAAGCGATATTTATATGATCACTAACCTTACAGTGTTATTCTCTGTATCAGTACTTGTCTACTTTTAACTTTGAATCACATCTTTCTCATTACGAATGAGTGTGCAAGTAATATTGACGCTAAACATTGATTTTTTTTGCATGAAAGGTAAACTACTGGGTGATTTTGTTGTTAATTTACCTATCTGGGGTATATGTTGTCTGTGTCAACTGGTGTGTGTTACTTAAACCAATTTCCCGGATAGTCTTAGTTCTTAGAAGTAGATACTTATCTAGCGTTATGAAATAGTAACATTGATTGTAACCTCTGTTTGTTTATTCCGCATAAATGTTACACATGCCCCATGCATTAAAAATTAATTAGCCAGTAATCTTTGCGTTTATTTTTCCGAGTATGTTATTCTATTTATTTGTTTCAACTTCCTTAGCTGGACATGACTCCACTGTGTGGAAAGCAGAGTTTTCTCCATCTGGAGATATTTTGGCGAGCTGTAGTGATGATCGATGTATTAAACTTTGGGGATGGGAAGGTAAGTTTTATAAATGTATCTTTTATTTTAAATACAAATTTCCAAATAACTTGTGACATGGCTCAAAATCGACCACAATGGTGTCTTTCCTTAAACCGTGAGATTAACATTACTTTACACCTTTCTTTTCATGAGCCAATTCTTTCTCCTTGTATCATATCCTTACATATTATCTCTATTTATATGTATTACTACCATTGAAGTAACTACTATGAATTTGGTGTTGATCTTATCGTACTAATGAGGCACGGCAACTTGAACCGATTCATATGTGCCTGATCCTACGTAGTGGATGACTGACTGACTGACTAAATAAAAACAACACATTGTTGAGGGAGAGAGGGTTATTTCTGCTCTCTTTTAAAACAACTTGATTGGTATACAAAGTTCAGCGCGGTTGTACTCACCTCTGTAAGAATTTGGGACTTGGAAATAACTTTTGGAGACAAATAATCACATTCTAGCCCATCAAATTTGTTGTTGCAAAGATTCTCAGAGGTCATTTATTTTCCGATGTTCTCGTCTGTCATGATTCATCTCTCGATCAGCACTTCATTCTTCATTTAACAAAAACCTTAATATCTATCATAAAAAACTAGTCAATGATCGAAAATCTACTTAACATGGTAATCGACGTACAAGTGTTCACTAAATAAGCGAAGTTTGATTATAAATACTCTCTCCATTTGAACAATGTTAAAGTAAGAACAATTACACAGTAGGTAAATTAGCGTTATTTGATTTTCTGCTAGGGATATTCAACGTCCTGGTAGGATAAATGAAACTTACTGGAGGCCTAACTTGAAGAGTAGACAAACAAACAAACATTATCTGCATAGAGTGCGAGATTGATGTAAGTTGGTCCAGGTTTCCATATTACATTAACATGATGAGATAGAAATAACAAGACAATTAGCAAAAAATACCGGAAGTAACGTAGCAGCAATGACAATAAGACTAAACATTAGAAATGTGTTTCGAAAAGACTGAATGGAAAGGTGTATCTCGTGGATTACTGGAATTTAAGACCGAGAGGGAAACATAGAGTAAATCCATCTAAGCCATTGCGAACTATCTTCGGTCATGTCACCCAGAGTCCCAAACCACTGACCAAGGTTATCACGTAGACTCCAATCATGTAGTCTGCATCTACCAACATAACTGAAACCAACAGTCAATGAATTCTTGGACTGGTCTCATATCTTGATTCGATTGCTAACAGTTTTCTTCCTAATTAATTGTGCACCATTAAGCACCACTTATCCACGTAAGCCATTGTTGGGCATATGTAATACATTTCCGAACCACCTCAGTCCATGAAGATGCACTGCCTTATCAATTGATTTGCCATTCCTACCTGTTACCGTGTGTCTAGCATCAACACAACCCGTTTGATGGTCCTGGAATGCACTAGCAATGCTTCGATGGTATCTCTGATCTAATACCAGTAAGTTGTGAATATTCTCTATTTTTAAACGTTACATTTCACAGTCATAAAGTGATCGAACAGTTGTTCAATGAACTGGTTGTGTGTTTGGTGAACGAACATCTTGTCTACAACATATGCGCTACAAGTTCACGAAAAGCAAGCAAGCTTATCGAGTCCATGCCGTGATTTCTTCAGGCACCAAGACAAGTGGAGTGATCGATACACTCAATCACTTTACGTCGACGCGGATCATTTCGCTTCTATGTAGAGAGATAAGCATCTTAAACATGCTAGCACTGTTGTTTAAAGTGGTAATGGGATTGCATTTTTTCAGCGTATTTGCCACACAGAACGATGCCATTTACATATTTTAAGTCAGCAAGAGAGTTTCGTGGTAGGACAATTGCTAAAAAGTGAAACGATGAAAAATAATGATAGAGTTAAATAAGAATGCAGAAAGCGGACAGTCTTGACGAACATTACTCGAAGTTAACTGTTTCGATGACAGTTAACTGCAAGTCGTGGTCCCACTAGTAGTGTTCGATTATTGAGGCCATATTAGGTTAGTATACTTCCTTGGTATAATTTAAGAATAATAAATCGTATCATAATCGTCTATAGTCAAAATAAAGCTTATAATAAGAGGAATATAGATATACATAATCTAGTTATTGAACAGTTATACAATAAGAAAATATGTATAATATTTGTCCATAAATAGTTCTCAGTAGTTACCCCTAATTTAATCTTCACTAGGATATAATTATATATATAGTTATAAATTTACTATTGACGGATGAAAAAATAAAGAAACAGTGTTTACACATTTCTATTTCTACTGTCACATCGACAGCAGTGACAAACCGGGGTGAGAGGAGTAAAAACATAGTCAATTATGGAGAATTGCAGGAAAAAAATAGTAACCTTTCATTTATTGAATATAAACTTGCTACTTTTTGTTGGGGGTCTTTTATGACATGCGATGTTTATATAGTGTAACGCTATATATATCACCTTAAGTTGTAAGGAAGAACGGGAAAACATGAACTATTTATTTCAGTCTCTACATACAATAAATTTAAGGAAAAAGATTAAGCGACGGGACTACACAACGACAACTACGCTCATTTTTAACCAGTCGTAATATATAATTTTATGAAGCAAAAAAACACAAAATAAAAGTAAAAATGTTGAACTATCAAAGAAGAGTGAATAAGAAGAAAAAACTTGGAATAAGAAAAATGCATAAGCACTCTGTTTCTCTCGCCGTAGGCGTAATAGATGATTTATAACTGAATTTAATTGGATGAATTTACACAAGAATAATATGGCAAGTGTGGAAAAAATGCACATAAGTAGAGATAATAAAGTCTCTGTCAAGATAACTAAATATTAGCACACATCACTCGTGGAATTGCAAGTAACTAAACATAAAAGTTTAAATGGTTTTTTACCCCGGAATTAACATTAGAAAATTAGTAGTGATAACTGTAATGCTATGATAAACCACCTTTTACGCGAGTTATGCTATGTAGCATTTTCATATTTTCATAATTAAATTGGGAGTTAAATCTAATTGCATAACACTTAAAATTTATTGAGCAGGCTATATGGTTATGATAAGTAAAGCAACAAATCAGCTTTTCAGATCCTTCGTAAGCATTTTCGGCAACATAAGAAAGAAATTAAGTCCAACTCCTCATACACTTTCACATTTGTATTTAGTGGATACTTATCTTACGTTAGACGTGTTATAATATGCCTTATCAAACTCTGCCCCATTCTGTCAGCTGTGTGGCGTGTATAGTTCTCTTTCAGATTTTGGAACAATACAAACTGAAAATTATAAATTCTATACGTATAAATTGTTTTGAGTAAAAATGTCACCATTAAGACTCTCATCCACAAAGTAAATCATTAAATTAAGATGTCATTGAAAAGCACTATTGACTAACTGGGTATAAATGTAGTTTTCTTATTTTTAATAAAATGTACAAAAGTACATTTTCACTGACTTCTTAGCCCATACAATGCTAGTTAGATGTAGCTTCCCTAGAAGAAAAAACGTACCTTGATATCTATACTTGCAAAATAAAGATAATCGTGTACAACTATCCAAGCGATAAGTGTATTAGTTTTTAACGCTTTGTTGCTGCTTGTCAACATGTGACGCATGCGTTGTGGATGAGATGTTCATTCACCAAACACACAACCAGTTCATTGAACAACTGTTCGATCACTTTATGACTGTGAAATGTAACGTTTAAAAATAGAGAATATTCACAACTTACTGGTATTAGATCAGAGATACCATCGAAGCATTGCTAGTGCATTCCAGGACCATCAAACGGGTTGTGTTGATGCTAGACACACGGTAACAGGTAGGAATGGCAAATCAATTGATAAGGCAGTGCATCTTCATGGACTGAGGTGGTTCGGAAATGTATTACATATGCCCAACAATGGCTTACGTGGATAAGTGGTGCTTAATGGTGCACAATTAATTAGGAAGAAAACTGTTAGCAATCGAATCAAGATATGAGACCAGTCCAAGAATTCATTGACTGTTGGTTTCAGTTATGTTGGTAGATGCAGACTACATGATTGGAGTCTACGTGATAACCTTGGTCAGTGGTTTGGGACTCTGGTTGTCATTACCGAGGATATTTCACAATGATGCAGTTGTACTCACTGTCGTCCCTTAAATTCAAAGATTTTACTGAATGTTTTTTATTATTATTTACGAACTCGTGTTCTCTCAGATCACTTGTTAATACTAAAACTTCATGATTATTACTAATACTGATACTACTTCTTATACCCCGTGATTTATGTGTTTCTGTGCTGTTATGTTGTTTCTGCTTGAACCGATACACATATGTGCCAGGTTTTATGTTGCGTTTGATTGGCTGTTCAAATAATTACTTGACAGATAACATTCTTGCTCAACTATAAATGTTTAGGTTTTGTAAAATCTACTTTCATTTTTATTCAGTTAGTTTATTTGTATCAGGTAACCAATGATAATACTAACATTGTTTGACTTATTACTGCTAACATTTTACTTGTTTTTTCTTTCTGTTTATGTCATAAATCATGCTTTAATTTATATTACCAAGATTGTTTAATTTTACAAAAATTTTCCATCAATGTATTTTAGTGGGAAATTGGTTGTTCTATATAAAATATTCAGCTTAGAAAAGTTGTCATTGTGATTTTCATCAACTCTGAATGTATAGTTCTATGTTGGGACCTTTTTAAAATGTACAGTTCTCAAAATATTTTTAAAATAATAAAGAACAGTCTACTTTTGTGAGTGTATTAGCGAACTATTAGAAAGCTTGTTGTGAAAAGAGTAAACTTTATTTTGTTTTGTTTTCTCTTCTCAACACTTTCATTTCTAGTCACAGATGTATTTTTAGAGGTTTTTAAATGGTAATATAATTTAGCTTGCAAAGTTTGTATAAGTAAATTGTATAATTATATTTTTACAGTTTATACTATTCAAACACACTATCCAGTGTTTTTATATTTCGATTTTATGAATCCATTATCTACCTTCATACATGTGTTTCCCTTGTGTGACTAGCTTTGTGGTTACGGTTTCGATGAATTGTCTTTGGTTGGTTGTACTTGTGTTACATAATCAGATAATAATGTAATTATTAATTACCTTTTAGGAGCTTGCAGTAAATCAACTTCGTGGGTGTGTATTGCTACATTAACTGGTTATCACATACGTACAATTTTCGATTTAAGCTGGTAAGTAACATTTTTACTCTTATATGTCTGTAATTAGATGACTTTGTAATGAATACTTGACATACCACGTACATTCTTTGGTTCAGTTAGTAACACCAAGTTATATCATGTAAACGATGACTGAAACGTAAAGTGTTTTCGGTTTAAATTCGTTTGACAAATTCCAGTATAGTTTAGAGTTCATTTCCAGAATGTGTGATGCAAATACAATACATTTTACGCTAGTGAGTTTTGTTTTACAGTGATGGGATTTGGTGTTAAAGGAAATTCAAAAATTTGTCATACTGGGATTTCAGTGTCATACTGAATATTCACTTTTGAAAACATGTATAGTTTATTGAGACTTTACAACTGGTATTGAATCGTTTCTCATGGTTTAGGGCAAAACCACTCCTACATCTAAAATCAATGTATTCTGTGGTAGTCTATTCAGTTACATCATCTACAACACTCCTTAAACGTTTTGATCTGACTGATATCCAAGGTGAAAAGACATCAACATCTAGGTAGTTTTAATGCCGGGCTGAATGATCAGTTCACAGCTGTTCTGTATACGTATGTTACAGATTTAACCAAAGATATGCGGACAGTGTCCATAGTTAGGTGAATAAGGCACGTTCACCACTGGCCTATATGATTTATACCTCTGACCCCTTTGATAGCCTTACAACTTATGATTTGATTATTTTTCACAGAAAGCCTCTTCTGTGACGTGATTACATAGAGAACGTTCAGTCACTGTTAAGTTTGTTTTACATTGTTCCTATATGTTCCTTTTCTACTCTTTTGTATGTTGTTTTATACTACTTATTTACATTCAGTAGGCAGCTGTATACCCAACAATTTTCACACTTATGTTGTAACTCAAGTTGTACTGTAACATTCTGGAATGTTCACATATATCTTTAATGTTTATTTTACTTATAATTGTATTTATCATTATAATCACTGTAATTTAATTACTGTAAAGGTTATCCACAGTTTTATGCATTTGTTTGAATGCAACAGTTTCCATATTGTTTGCTCTTGGTTCGAGTTTCGGTTGTTCATAAACTGTTACCAAATTTAGACACAGCTATCGGCTGTCTTTGGACTATCGTATGTTGTAATCATTCTTTATGTTACTCTTACAGGAAGCCTTTGCTATTTTCATTCTTGAACGACGCGTTTAAACGCCTAGACACCTCACAAGTTGAGGTTTGTAAATAAATTTTGTGTATTATTTAATAAAGAACCGCTTTTGTAGACAAATCGTTGTTTTGGAACTTCGATTTTGCGCGTATCTCAATCGGGGTTATTTGGACGCTTCGATAGAATTAACAGTCACTAAGTCACAGGTTCAAAGCCTGCTCTACTTAATTTGGTTTGGGCGACTGGGTAGTATCATTAATTCTCATTTAGAGTATGGCTCTTACCCAAGTACCCGGTGAATGAGTTAATCTTACTCCATGTAGAGAACATCAAATATCTTGTAATGTATGAGACTATTAGTCTCTTCATTGTATTGTAAGTTTATTCTTTCAGTCAAACAAAATTATTCTTTGCCTACATTGACTGTTTGCATTTTCAGTTACGGGTATTAACACTCGTCTCCATCACATGTATTTTGAGTTTTCTAAGTTCACCATTGGCTTGAGTAATTGTTTGACAATGTATTATGGGGAATTTTCTTCTGACAGATGTCTGATTTCCATTTTGCATTATGATATGGCTCAGAATAGAAGCCAGTGGCGATCCTGCTGTAACCTTCTTTTACTTTCTTCATAAAAAGTGGTTGTGTCTCCCTTACCTGAAAGATTTCTTCTGATTGTACCTTTTCGTTCCCTCGTTACTACCACACTACCTTACACCAATCTCTTCGTTATTGTTCTCTTTTTCTTTTGCGCTCCTTAGTTTTTTTTGTACTTCTCTTCGAATTTTCATTGTCTTGTGTGGCGCATATATATTGGCGCTCTCTTGTACCAATATTCATGTGTTCAAATAAATAAATAAAACTTCGTATTTGATTTAACCCTTATCTCTTAATCATGCTTATTCAATGCTCAGTGTTATCGTAGATTTAAGTTGGAATTTCATAAGGAAAAAGTATATTGTAGCTAGGGATGAATTCTGAGAATTTTACCAATTAATCTTTACTGATGTGACTGGATAGTTATTACGCAAATCATCACATAAAACTAAGGGTCAGTAAGATAGATAGTCAAAAACTGGTAGTTCGATGTCTGTAAGAGACGAAAATATTTTGTTAACATTAAAGTTAATTCAACTTTACTTACGTAGATACGGTCAATCAGTGTGTTTAGCCGACGTTTGGATGCAAAATAAGATTAAACTCTAAACATTGGCGATTTTTAGTTTATACGTGTATAACTTCTGTGTTTGATTTTTTGAGTCTATTAACGATATTTTTTCTCACACTATATATGTAGTGCTTTTCTCTCAACTGTTTGACAGGTCATCAGATGGTCAACTCTTAGCCAGTTGTGGTTCTGATAACAGATTATGCATCTATAAGATGCCATCTAGTGGTTTGATTCATATTGGCGGGAAACCGTGTTTAGAAGAACCACCTATTCTATGGGGTTATGTTCCGAATGCTCATTCAGAAGACGTAAACTGTGTACGTTGGCAACCTAAGGGTTTCAACAGCAAAAGTCATAGCAAAGATACATCAGACTGTCAACTAATTTTGACAACAGCCTCTGATGATGGATATATCAAGTTCTGGTCCATCAAGTGTGATGAATAATCCTGTTTCTTTCACGCACCAGACGATTGTGTTTATTTGTAATTGTACTATTTTATGAACAATTATCTGTACATATAATTTTTACTTTTGTAGTCCTTAAAATTGATCTTATTTTCATTATAGATTCGATACACATGGTGATTTTTACTCTTTTTCTCATATATATTTTTAGTCTACGTTTATGATTCAGTAAAAATTAAATCGGAATGAGTAAACATTGGTTTTGCTCCGTGTCTAATAGTAACGATGAGTAGTCAAAAGAAAGGAGATAAAGGTAATTTTGGCATTCTGGTTTGAACTTCTTTTTTAGGAGTTTATAAAATGTACTAATCATTTGGAATTGATTGCCAGTTCTACTGACATCATGTTATATGGGTCATTGATGACCTTAAAATATTGGTTTTGGGATTTTCAAGATCAGATTTGTTTGTTTATAGCTACGCTTCATTCGATCACCTTGAATCCACAACTTAAAGAGTTCGTTAATATCGGATGCTGACGTTAAGTGGGTTGTGGTAAATGTAAAATGATACAAAATATCACAATCTAATGGCTTACTTTTAGCAATCCTTAAATAAAGCTAACTGAGATCACGGCTGCACTATGAGACTCTAAACTAGTTTCAGATAAATAGTCTGATTCTGCAGTTGATGTTCATTTGCGATGAAAACTGTTTTCCAAGTTATGGAATCCTCTAGAAATCAAGTGTTTCTTATTGTAAATCCTCGTTTCTAAAGTGGATTATCAATTGATGGTTATTTTCAATAGTGTTTTTGATACATAGGTAACGGAAAAAGTCTTCTACTTATCATCTACTTGCTATTCAATCTTCTATTGTAATCCGTCAATAAATCCAAAGAATATATCAAATATTAGTGCTTCACAACTTAATAAATACGAATGAAATAGTTATACGCTTATATTTAACTTTATATTTCGATATTTAGTTTAGGTAAGTAATAGTTGACCGTAATCATGGTTGTATAAATTTGAGATATTACTTCAGGGAATGTAATGGAAATAGATTAAAATCCATCCACAGAACATTCTGAAACAGACCACTCGGTTATGTCATAATCATTATGTTCTATGTATGCATTATTCAATATGTACGGAATTACCAGGATGATTACCTCAGTATCCTAAGTTTTGAGAACATTCGCTTTAGTTGCATATTTATTATTGACCTTTAGACGCCCTTATTAAGTTAATCAAACTGAAAAGCAAATTATTTGGTCAGATTTAAGTGAATGATTAGAATTACTACTAGGGATGTCTATAACGTTTGTCCCATCGCCATTGAATCCTTCATTAGTTATGCATCATTAACCCCGCTTAAAGGCCTGTTACATTATGTTGTTTGGATAAACCGTTTTATCTGCCTTGAAGTTTTTGTATGATAACTAAGTTTCGTAGAGTATAACATCAACTTTTCTAATCCTCACAGCTGCGTTTAATCATGTTTACGTAGTATACATGTTTTTTCTTAGAAATAATGACCAATTTATCTATTTTACACAGCTGGTTATCTGTTTCGTCTACCAATCTATTGGCAAAAACTAGTCTTTCATATGTACATAGACAGTTATGTCAGTAGGAGCTTATGTATGTGGACATACAAATATTGATGTTAAGTAGTCGAAGGTAATTGAACTAATTTCCATGCTAGTTGGCACTCTTCAGCAAGAGACATCTACAATCATGAGGGGACTGATGCGCCCCATATGATTCGAAATTTATTACCCAACTTCATCGTCTGAGCTATTCTGACTATAACTGATCTATAGAACCTATATTTATAATGCAAATAGTAAACTATGTACATATGAATATTGGTAGATAATAAATCAGTTGCTACAGTTTACGTTAATTTAATATTGATTCCAGTGACTGTATAATCCAATTTTGTTCATTATAATTTGTTTGACAAAGAAAAATAATTTTAATTGTCCCATTTTCGTATAACGTAATTCAATTATACGACTGGATTGTAACAGAAAGCGTAAACGTTACTATGTATTGAAGAAAAGTAGGTTAATTCATTTGTTACCTCTTATGAAGTCTAATTGCTTCTTCCGAATCAAAACTACTCAACTATTTCATTATTTATTTACTTTTTCTTTATCTGTTATCTCGGATTTTTGGACAATTTCAGCTCTTATCAGTTTGTTGTTTTTCTCAAGCTGTTTTCAAATTGTCAGTTGTATCCAATAGATACGCTTATTTCTTGTTCCATACGAGGATCAAATTAATTATTATAATGTGTAATAACCAAAAACAACTTATTTAGGGATCTATATAATCCTAGATGGTATTTTGTTTAATATATATGATACCTGGTGCAAGTTATCAATTAAGTTAGTATTAAATTTCAGTTTCAAAATCAACAAGAAGAAAATCAGTTAAATACTAAGCAATTGCTGTTTAGTGATATCAGCTTTATTTTTTTACAACTACTCTGTTGATAAGATCCATTCAGTACAAATAAGCTAATTATTAGTCGATGTATAGTTTTTTTTAAAAAATTGTACCAGTCACTCAAATCAATTATATCCATAGAATGCTTAGTTATCTTGTGCTTTATAATTGGTCCCCGAATCCGATGACGCGTAGTCAGAACTAAAAGACTTTGACTTTGAACCTAAGTCAAAATGATACAAGTACGCTTATATGTTGATTTTACGGACACTTGATGATCATAAATAAATAATATATTTGTAATATCCCAATGAGTAGGAAATTAGATTTTCTGACGTTTCGTGACTTAGTGTAAGTCACTTCTTCAGAGAATAAATAACCAAATTAAAATTAATCCAAGTTTAAGTAGTACAACGGAACAATAAGAATAATATTTGATCAATCAAAAAACAGTTCTGAACAAGTTGATGTCATGTCATTTCTGTCAAGGTGATTCATAAGTGATATGTATGTAAATTTGTGTGTATGTATATGTGCATTGTTTAAGAATGAAAACTTGTGTGACCTTTATGGTAAGAAAGGATAGAGTTTAATTTGTAATATGGTAGTGTGAATTGTATATATGATCAGACTGAATGGCTAGGATAGATGGTCCAAGTAGGATGTATGGTGAGGCCTTCCTTTCTATTGAGAGGAGTAGGATTAAGCATTATATGGAACGCTTCAGCTACCCTCCTTTCTTTGTAGTTGGAAAAGCCTTTTTGCAATATTTTGATGTTTTTAAAATCAATTTGGTGGTTGTTAAAAATGGCATGAACTGCTATTGCCGATTTAATTTGAAGTTTATCCAATTCTATGGGATTGTTAGGAGGTTTCTTTGTGTACCTAATATGTTCTTTGGCTCTAGTCAAGATTTCGCGGGATGACTCTCCAATATAGAAGGCATCACAATCGATACAACCTAATTTGTAGACGCAGTTCTGTGTGGAAATGAACGGGATTTTCTCTTTTAGGCTAACTAAAGTATTTCGTAGTGTGTTCGTTGCTTTGTAATATACTTTAATCCTGTGATGTTTTAAGATTCTTTGAAGTTCTTCTGTTGTACCGTGATGGTATGGTAGAAATACAGTACCAATCCATGATATTTCATTCGAATCATTATTATAACGTACTAAACTGTCTTGTTTCAATATACTGCTAATAATCTTCATAGGAAAAGTATTAAATTGTAAGATACTAATTACACTCTTTTGTTCTTTTTGCTTGTCTTCTTTTGATGTGATGATCTTGTTAGCTCTTCTAAAAAGATTTAATGCTAGCGAGATCTTAGCACTAAAAGGATGTGAAGAAGTGACTTACACTAAGTCACGAAACGTCAGAAAATCTAATTTTTCTACTCTTTGGGATATTACAGATATACTATTTATTTATAACAATCTACCCAATACTCAATTTATTCGAAATTATCAAATCAAACCTTGGTAATGATACATACTTAATGATCAGTTTATAATGATCACATGAATTACTACCAAAAACTCAAGCTACATATTTCATACTAAAATAATGAAATGAATATTATTTTAGATCAAAATTATAATGAAATAAATCAATATTATACTGAACAAAGTATATAAGTGAACAAGTATTACACTGAATAATCACTATATGGAATTAGAAAAAAAAATTGGAAGTCATGTTTAACAAAAATTGCAATGTATATAAAATGTGGTTTTATCTTCTTATCTTGTTGTTATACCATCAACAATATTGAATAACACTGAACATTTCATTTATCTGTTAACTTTATCATAGATGAATTGACTGGTCATAGTTCATATTCTTTTCAATTAGTTTGCATAGAAATTGTACTTTGATTTAGATTGTGTATGTTATTGTTCAAATATTTGATTCTTACTTTATGATGGGATTTACGAATGTAAAATAAAAATTGATTAGTTAAAATATATTTTAAGAGATAGAGTAAATATATTTTTACCTATTTATTTATTTAAACACATAAACATTGGTACAAGGAGGCACCAAGTAGATATGCGTCACATAAATCATCCGATTTGTGTGAGGGCTGTGATACTGCCCGGACCGAATCAGGTGGTTTTCTTAGGGGGCCACACTCGGAGCCTTCGACCTAAAGGTCTGACCCACAAGGCAGCGGAGCATCGTGAGGAGATGCAGTCCCATGGTAGCCGGTGAGCAACGATTGGTTCATACGCCATTTATTCCCGCAGGATACTGGAGCTCATGTGCACCATTGGTTTGGAATCCGGTTAAAGCGCCGGACATTCGCTTTTCGTCCTCTCATTTTCGTAAACAACACCTCCACCCCGAGAATGCAGTGAGTAGGACTTCCCTATTATTAACTATTTTATATACGAATAAACAGTGTACGTTAAAACAAAAAATAGTGAATAAGATATAGAAGCTAGACTTTGTTATTATTTCAATATCGTTAACAATTTCTGGGCTTTGAAAGTGTTGAGAGTTTAGTACGTAGGATACTTTTTCAATGAAGTGTAGGTCTAAAAATATTGTTCGTCTGATGATAAATGTATGGAACTTCAATCTTTTGCATATTCGTGTTAATTTCCTCTAAGGAGTCATACATTAGAAATAAGGAATAATACTTTAGTTCAGTTCAAATTAGTTTGGAAATATAGAGAACTAATCCCATGGCCCATAATGGGCTATTTATTATAATTTCTTTTAGTATCTTTTATCGTACAATGTCTGATTATACTTAATGTTTGAGTTCGGACTATTATTATTATTAAGATAATAGTATACATGTCATTTGTTTTATGATGCCTATGGTAAAAATGAGATTAGCTAAAATGT